AATTTTATTACGTTTTATTATCATTACAATAACTATTATATATAATGAAAAGCTAACTAAAAAGCTAACTAATAAGTAGTAATATTGTGTCTACATATTTAGCTAAGAAATATAAACTGATTAATAAAATTTAATTCTTACTCTAAAAAAATATGCGAAATTATGCTTTTTCAGATAATAATTCTTACTCTGTATAATATACAAAATCAAGCCTTTCAAACAACGACCCAGCACTCTGGCCACTTATGATTGTCCATCTTATTACTGGATTCATTTTCATCACCAGTTTTATAGTCTTTGTCAGACTCTTTATCTTCTTCATTGGGTTCTTCACCAGGTTCTTCTTCAGATTCTTCATCAGGTTCTTCATCAGATTCCTCCTCTTCATCTTCATCAGATTCCTCCTCATCATTAGATTCATCGTCATCATTGTAAATCAAATGATCCTCACTCCCTGACAAGCAATTGGAGATACCATATTTTTTGAATACCCGGATAATAATATCTTCAGAAATATCATCCCAAGCATTCAAAACCCAATAACATACTGTGTTTAGATCAGCACACTTCAAGTTTCCATTCTTAGTCATACCATTGCCACCATTTGTCATCTATCTATGCTAATACTTACGAAGCTTATCTTTGAAAGGTTTGTTGATACAAATGTCAAGAGGCTAGTACATACTAGTAAGACCCTCAGGAATAACAGCCAAATCTGTATTTCTTGAACGTAATGCTGCCTTTATCTGATCCATAATATGAGCTAAAAAAGAATCAAAGACTAGCAATACTTTTGAATTATGTAGTTCTGGTTGAGAATTATTCTAATACTTTATCTATTGATTCATTCTCTGTTCGTCTATCTATCCCTTCTCTTGGAACCAAACTATTACACCAGCTGGAGGTCGTAGCATGTTAGTTGGCCAAATTTTTCCCTTAAAAATAATGACTAGTGGTAGCTTTCTACTATTAGCAAGGCATATCAAGACTACTGTAAATCGGTTCTTCTCATTCCCAGTTATTCTAACATGAACGGTCTTTGCACCTTTGGTGTTCACAGTCATGGCACCTGCTATATCAAAATAAACTGGCGTCTCGTCCATGTTTGCAATCATTTCAAGAGGGTAATCATTTTTTTGATAAAGGCGAATAACAAATTGCTGAAAGTTAAGTAGTTGATTTTCAAGATCCTCTAGTAATTTTGTGTGATTTTGGTCTTACATCTAAGAGAAAGATCATGCTGTTTTAAAAAACGACTAACTCAGTATGTTGAGAGCTTAAACTTTTCAATTGCAAGCCTTTTAGATTTATCTTTTGTTTGTTTAGTACTTTTATCCAAGATTTCAGCCATTTTAAATTTTATATTAGGGTAAGTAACTGCGAGACTATTCTGGTGAACTTCTATTATCCACTCAAAAAGTTGAGACTCTTCTTCAGGAAAAAGTGAGCGATGCCCAGAGCCAATACTTCGCATGTTTTTTTGAGAAAAAGAAGGTGGGTTTTGAGAAAACTTCTTAACCTAATGACCAAACATAGTTAAATCCAGGGAGTAGTACTGTGCTGCATGTGAATTTGAAGTACGACGAGCCAATTCCATAGCCTTATTCTTTTTCTCGACCGTGTAAGAATTTCTTTGCCTTTTCATTTTTTTTTTTTAAAAAAAAAAAAAAAAAAAGATTGAAGGTTCTTTTAAAACTAGGTTGACAAGAAAAAAATTTTCTTAGAAAAAAAAGGATGAGTAGTAAAGTTTTTTTTTTCTATTGTGTTTGGCAAGTGATTTTTTTTTTTTTAAAAATTTATACCTGGTTTTTTGAAATCTAAGTTATGTTAGTTAAGTAAAAGAGTTGATTTTTATTATATTTTTTTTTTTTTTTTACTAAAAAAATTCTTGAGGTTTTCATATTAATCGATAACATTCAACTAATTGATAGTATTCTAACATTCATTATAACGACAATTCAACAGTTTTAAGATTGTATATAATGCATAAATATTTATGCCGTGTATCCTTTTCAAGTCATTATATAAGTGAAATTTTTATATATAGCAAGTGGTATTTTTTTTGAATTGTTGACTAAAGCTGATATTCTTTATTTATCATTGTATGTATCGAGACTGTTATCCTTTTCAAGTTATAAATAAAGTAACAAAGTAACAATTGATTCGTATAACCTTATGATACGTAGTTTATGTGAAGTTTATAATCATAAAGCGCACTTTAATTAGACTTTATATTGTTATATATACTACATATATATAACTTATTTAGAGCCTAATAGTAACTATAAATTTAGGGTTATAGTACTTTGGGTAGTTGGTAGATTTGTACGTATTTTTAGTCTTAGTTTGGAAGTTAGAGATTAGATATTGGTACTTTGTTTAGTATATTGGGTGTTGGAATATAATAATAAGATACTTACTTGTATCACTTGTGTTATTTGTACTTTTTGGTGCCTTGTGTACAATAATAAAATACTTGGTTTCTCAATTTAATACTTACGACCCTAAGCTAAATTGGCTACGTGGATATAAAGCTTATCCCCTGGTCGTAACAATGTCAAAAAAACTGAAGTTTTGTGTATGAATGACGAATTCTTTTTTTTTTTTAAAAAAAAAAGTAATTCTACAAAAAATTTTTAAGATATACCTGCTTTTGTGAATCCGAGTGTCATATAAAACAAAATATTTCAAGTAAAAATAAGTTAAATAAAGCAAAACAAAGGCTATACAAAAACAAAACTAGTTTTTTAAAATAAATACCTGATAATAAGCTACCCTATCGTTAAGCATAAATTGCTTAAAAACTTCTATATCCCGAAAATAAGCTACTTCTGATTTTTTTAATTTAAAATCAGCCAAAAAAAGGTAGCTTATTTTCGAGAATCTACGGTAGTATATTGGATATTTTTCTTTTTAATAAGAAAGTTTAGTATGTGTATAATGTCCCAGTTGTTTTGTTTAGTTTGTATTTGGTAGTTGTAAAGTAGGTAATTTTTAAGTATTTAGATTACAGAAAGATTGTTCAGATAGATATGAATATTATAGTTTGATAGAAGGGTTAAGAATAGAAAAATAAATATTGTGAGTTCTGCTCTTATAGAGTTTGGTATATTTGAAATTGATATATTAAATTTTATTTAAGTATTGTTTTAAAGAATTCAAGCAATTCCAGTTTTGATGTTAGGAGTTTATATATTTTTAATTAAGGCATCTGTATAAAAGTGCAAATTGTTTGAATTTAGAAGTAGAATTTGGTTTTGAAGATTTATAATTTGATTTTAGTAGGAAAGGTTTATAATTGTATTTTGAATTAGAGATATGTTAGATATTGGGCCAGATATACGAAAAACTGATAGGCGATAACAACTATCGAAGATATTTTAGGTGCATTTAAATATTTTAAGTCTGTGTATTTTTATAATGAATTAGCAGAATTAACAATAATTGTACATTAAAGTATTTCTATTAACCAGTTTGAAATTATTATTAAAATAATACATTATATGCACAAAAACTAATCTATAAATACTGTAATTTATTTGAATTTTTACACTCATATTTATTAGTTAATAGAATTTGGTGCCAACATGTTGTCAATTTATTATGGCATGCTCCTTTTTCCTTACCCAACCGGTTAGATGAATATAGATCTATATCTATAATAAATATCTATATTTCTTGTATGGATGATACTGAAAAATCTTTACTTGAAGGAAGTGCAAATGAGTGATTTGATAGAAAATCAAGATGCATAATTTATTTTTTAAATGTATATTCATCACTTACGTCACTTGGTACTAAACTAGTCATTCACAACCTATTTATATATAAACTATCTAATAATTAGAAGCAGATAAATAGTTTTATGCTTATATATGTATACATTCATTTGTTTATCATGTTTTGCAACAGGAGCGAACGCAGTTTACTTATTAGCGCGAGTAATAAACCAAGAGGAAATCAAATTTTGTAAATAAACTAAGTATGTAAAAATAGAAGTTTATAGTTAGAGCATTAACATTAGAGGCTATAACAATAGATTGCTCGTTATATGTAAATTTCATTTCTGAAAATTTTAATTAGTGTACCAAGGTTGATTTAAACCCTAGTTTTTGAGTATTTTCACATTTTTCTTATTTCACACGTGTTTAGAATTGATCTAGAACAGTCAAATTTTGTGCACTTCAATTGGTTAGATTTCAATAAATATATAATTAGTATTTTGAGGAAAAAAGTTTCTCAAAAAAAAAAATAAAAAAATGCAGTACTTTTAGTATGTGAAATCTAAATTTTATTGCATGATCAACATGTTGCTCAAATTTAGAAAGAAGAGGTAGCTTATTTTCAGAATAAAAATTTTTATTATTGTTTTTAGTTTGAAGAAACGAAGTAGCTTATTTTCAGGTATAAGGGTTTTCTAAGCTTTTTAATCAAATTTAAGGGGTAGCTTATTTTCAGGGTAGCCTATTTTCGGGAATCTACAGTACTCACAAAACCAAATCATATTTAAAAAACTCCTTTTATAATATTGCTGACTCTCTTGCAAAACAAGATATAAATAAAGTCAAAATCTAACTGAATACAAACTATTTTTCTTTACCTATATTTTTCACATAGAACCAAATACCTATTACATTTAAAATACAAAAATTCTATACAAACATCCTCTTAACTTAAAATACTCTATAACCTACAACTCTTTAATATTCTCTAACTTACTTATATAATAAACTCCCAAAACAACAACTTAAAATTATATTTACTCAGAAACAAAATACTTTTTAACAACTTTGCAACTATGGCAAATCTCAATATTCACTATTTAAACTTATATCTTATAACTAACTGTGCCTTCTGCAATTAATATAAAAATACTGAACACCTACTCTCTTGCTTATTATACTCAACTAACTTACAAAATATATTACTACAACATATTTCTAAACACTTACAAATACTCAATATAACAAATACACTTCCTCAAATAATCCTCTAACTCCTTACTTCTAACTACAATACTCAAAACTTTGCAAATATCTTATTCTTCCTAATTCAAGGAACTATCTCAACAACTTGTTTCAAACAAACTAATTCACTACTCAAAAAATCAACTAACAATTTCTTTACCCAACTTTTAAACTCTCTACTTCTCTAGTTTAACAACAAAATCTGAAAAGATAGAAATCAAAAACAACATGAATAGGAATCTGCTTGTAATATCTCAAAAAAGACTATAAAAAATACAAAAATTATTTACCCTATACAAACTTCAAATACTATAAACAACAATATCTCGCAAAATCTCAATATAGATATTTATATTCAAAAATTATTATTTCAAAATTACTCTATTTATAATTGTTTTTCTAATTCTATTTTCTTTTAATTATAGAGATCTTCTCTAATCTCCTCTACAGTCAATAGTAACTTAGGTTTAAATTAGCTAATAAATAGAAAATAGAGGTATAATATTATATTGGATGACTAACCTAGTATTAGTAACAACAATGTATTTTAGAAATATATATTAGCTCTACATATATATTATTATGATATACAAATATACTAATTCTTTTCCTATTTTGATATTATTAATAAATATATATATAAAAAAAAAAAAAAAAAAAAAAAGATATACTAAGATTAGATAAATTATAAGCTAATATATTATTAGCTAGTTTATTTAAAAATTTGCTAATTAAACTGATATTTTAGCAAAATTTATATGATAAATCAATTATTTTATTTTATTTACAAACTATAAAACAGATATTTTATTAATATTTGATGTTATTTTATTAATTATTTACTAAAACATAATATATTCTATAATAATAATATTATTATAACATTATAAATATCAGTTAGCTGATTTTATATATTTTCAAAATATTTTTAGAACAATTTTTAGTTATTCTTTTATGATACAAATATTATTAATTTATCAGTTTATTAATTATATTTTATTTGATATATATTTATATTTACTAAAATATTACCTTAATGATTACTTTTTTTTTTTTTTTTTTTTTACTTATAGTGATATATAGCTGATATTATTATTATTATTATTATTATTTTTAATAAAGGTAGCTTACTATACTAAGCAGATTTTATTAGTTTAATATATGAGGTCATCTATTGACAATCTCTTACAGTTTGTAATTATATGAAGAGTATACAACCTGCTACATGTACAACTTTAGTTATTGTCTAATTTAAGTAGTCCGCTATATAGGTAGATCATCTGTTTGGTTCTACACAAGCTGCCATACCTGTAATCTGCTTGTGAGTTACCTATTTAAATACTCTGTTCACCTAATCTATACTAGAATTAACTAATATTACTGTAATACCTAACTGCTTAAATAAGCTAGCTTGTTGCAAATCTATTTATCTAACTCAGCTTAGATCCTCTTGGAATGCATATTGCTTAATATATTGTGACATATAGAGCTCTAGTTAACCTCGTAA